CTTTCACAAGCCATGCAAAGCACCTAGGTCTGTTCTGGAAAGGGTTAGTGCCCCCTCAAGGTAGAAAACCTTAAGGCCCGGTGAAAAGTCAAGAATTGATAAATTCCAGAATCCCTTTTTACACAATGGAAGATGTCCCTCTAGCTATATTTCCAAGAAAAATTTTCTCCTCTTTTTTAAGACCAACTCTCTCTCTGGATTCAGAGGAGCCAGGATAGGCTTAGTTAAGATTTTTCTGTTTTGCTGTATCTAGACAACTAGCTAATGATCTGGTTTGACTCACTGTGACAGAGGAGCTTAACCCTTGCAACCTTGGTGCTAAGTGTCTGGGGGGAGGGGCAAAGGGAGCAGAGAGCATTTTTGGAAGGACCATCTTGTTTGGGGTACTGTACTACATACTGCGGGTACATTACCTCATCTGAGTCTTGTGACAATCCTGTGACATGGCTACTATTAGTATCTTCATTTTATAAATAATGAAATAGAGGCTCAGAAGGGAAAGTATTTGGCAAAGTTTACCCAAGAAACAGATCAGTGTTCCTTCTTGAACCCTACTGGACCTTGCTAATTACAGGACATCATATCCATTTTCCACAACACATTTTTTTTTAATTTAAGAAAAAGTAAAGATAACAATATGATAACCACCTAAAATCCATTATGAAGAACTGATCATTCCTGGCCTTTTTTCTTGTTTCAAATGTTTTAAATATTAAATCACTTTGACTCTTACTAACAACCTCATCCTACTACCTTCTTTTCACTCTCACCCTCCAAGAATAAATCTTTACCATTAGTCTCAGGCTTTTTCCTTCCAGCCCATTTTTCTATATACTTCAGATATCTTTCTGGGGGTGGAAAGTGTCATTCTCCTTACTGCTTCCTTCCAGGGATTTTGTGAATCCCACTCCTTAGAAAGTGCCAGAGACCTCTGCCTGCCCCTCCATGCTCCATCTGCTCCCAGGATGGGGATCCTCCCCCAGTGGTTTGTGAAGTTGCTGACAATGAGCCCAGACAGAGCCGTGGCCAAATGGCCACCACTGCTCCCTGCTGCAGACACAATCCTTCGCTCTCAGCTCAGGCTGGTATTGTTCGATTCCAAGGACAATTAGGAACACTGCCGGGCATCTGTTTCCTGAGTTGTAGGGCAACTTGATATGATGCCATCTAGTGTCCTGACCTTTGCCAGCAAGAGAAATGAGGCATTACCAAAATAAAACAAGTAGACAAGAAAGAAAAAGAAAGACAGAAAAACAGAGAGAGAAAAAAAGAAGAAGAAAGAAAGAAAGAAAGAAAGAAAGAAAGAAAGAAAGAAAGAAAGAAAAGAAAGAAAGCTTAAAACAGAAGCTTGAGTTTTTTTTCTTCTTTTTTATCACCACTGCACTGCAGGAGATACTGGAGGTATCCTACCTGTATCTCCTGCCCTTACTTCTTCAGTGCACAGTGGCCAGGCCACCAGCTGCCAGGACCTACATACCTCTGGGGCCACTCTGCTCAGCATGGAAAGTTGAAATGATGGAGAATTAGTGTCCCCTGAGAGCAGGTCTCAACAAAGCATGAATGTGAATTGATGTATAGTACAAATATTCCAGCTCCCTCTCAGGTAGGACAACAAAAATTCTGTGTCCAACATTTCCAGAGTTTTCCAATGGCATTAAGCTCCAACTGCCCAGAGTGCTAGCTGGCCCAGTTAGGTACCCTTTACTGGCTGCTTTGCTCTGTGTCTCAATCCCCTACTCCCCTGACAGTATTTCCTTTACTTCCCAAGTAACCAAATATACCACTTGCTTTAATATCTTTGTCTCAGGATCTCCTAACCAAACAAAACATCTCTGTGGCACATTGCAAAAATGGCCACCTTCCCCCCTTTCTATTTCTTTACCCTGTGATGTTACAGCCCCTCCCATCAAGCAGTAGGCCAGTCGTGGATCTTGCTTTTCCCCAATAGAACAAGGCAGGAGTGATAACAGGAACCTTGCACACATCTACTTTTTCCCCAAAACTCATAAGCAGTAATAAATGGTTGCTTTTTTTAAGCCACTGAGCATTGAATGATTTTTCGCAGAACAGAAACCAAATGTTCCAACCCCCAACCCAAGTCTACATATGAAGCCCTCTTTTATGTGTATTTACTTGAATGAGAGTATTGTTTTCCAAAAAAGAGGGGTGGGTAGGGAGATTTCTCAGGCACAGAGAAGTTAAATGACCTTCTCAGAATTGCCTAGCACAACGTCGCTGGCAGTTGCTGTCGGTATCCTGGTCCACTATGTTGCTCCAGGGCTTCCGTGCTGAATCACCTTGTCTGTCTGGGTTTGCCTGCATGCTGCTGTATTTTCTCTCCACCACGGCTGCCAGCCTGGCTGCTGGTTTTTTCCAAAGCTCTATCTTCACAGAACTGTGAAGTAGGAGGCCACTGTGTTTTCACGGATTGTGCCGATGACATATGTGTCTGATTGGGATTCAAGCGCCTGCAAAGCTGGCTCAAGATGGAGAGCTCCCCCAAAATACTGCAGTTGCTGGACACTGGAGAATTTATGGAGCCTTCAGAGCCAGCAGGAGAGTAAACAATGCTGAATAGAGACAGGATGCTTAATCCTGGCTTTGCCTCTGGTATCTGAAGTCTCTTTCAGCTCTAAAATGACAGGATTAGGGGATGGAGTAGAGCTCATGGAGATACCAAGCAGAAGTTAATTGTCTAATTTAAGAAAGTTCTGTCTGGTAGGCTAGAACAGTGGTTCTCAAACTGGGGTCCCTGTGCATCACCTGGAGACTTGTTAGAAATGTAAAGTCTTGGACCTCATCCCAGACCCTCTGAATCAGATTCTCTTGGGATGTGGCCCAGAAATCTGTGTATTAAGAAGCCCTCCAAGTGATTTGAATGCAGGCTTAAGTTTGAGAACAGCTAATGTAGAGCCATGTTATTCCAAATGTGGCTCAGGGCATTCACATCACCCAGAGCTGGCTAAAGAAGCAGAAGCTCAACATGATCTCCTTAGCCCTCCTGAATCAGAATCCACATTTAATAAGATCCCTAGGTGATTTCAGTGCACATCAAAGTGGAGAAGCCCTGGGTATAGATTCCTGGTCTCCAGGTTTGAAGATTGTGATTCATTAGATCTGGAGTGGGCCCCCCAAGTTTACATTCCTAAAAAGGTTACACTGCTGACCCTTCAGGGCAGGGATTATATTTGGAGCAGCAAAGCTCTAGATTTTAGGCCAGGTTTAGAATCTTGGCCTTGGGATGGTTTCAAGCCAATTAAACTTGGTTTGAGCCACTCTACAGATGTGCAGGCTGTGCACTGCCCAAGTCTAGAAGGTGGGAGTTCACACAGACTATGAGTCAAGAACCTGAAACCCAAAGCTAAGTACAAGAAGAGGCAGGGGCTGGCTAACGAGTAGGTTTTGGAGAGAGAGCTGGGTTTGAATCCTAACACTGCAGCTTACATAGTTGTGTGATCTTGGGAAATACATTGAACTCTAAGTTTCAATTTCCTGTCTTATAAAATGGAGATGATCATACTTGCCTCACTTATACAAGAGGTTCGATGGTCAGTGCATAGCACAAGCCAAGGGAACAGCGCGTGTCATCAGACTTGGAGGCTCCTTCTCTTTCAGTCTCATCCTGGCTAGCGGCCTAATTGCCTGGTTCGGGCTGAAGGCCAGGTGAGTATGATGGGCTTTTCTTTAGAGCTCCCGGGGGTCAGATGAAGGTGAGACAGCAATAACTCAGGCTGTTTATATTAGGAACACTTCCTATGGGTTTGTTTGCACAAATCGATTCATAAAAGTGACCAACGTGGTCAATTTCAAACCACACCCCAGGTTCACCTACCAAAGTCACAAAAGACAGTAAGCAGTCCCTGGGTCTGCCAGGGCTCCCTGCGGTGCCCCTGGACTCATGCAGAGGCTTTGTGAGGGCACTTTGGATAACCAGGCAGGGAAATCGGCCGTCTTCCATATAAGGGCCACAGCTAGACCCTTCCTGTATTTTTAGGAGAAAAAGACAGTCAGGAATGCTCTGACACAAACCTAAAGACCAAATTAAAGTCCGAACTTGGGGAGATGGATGAGGGGAGAGCCATTCTGGGTACAGAGCAGACAGTGAGATACTTTGAAAGCTCATCAATAACAAACCAACCAGGGCAACATTAAGGGGTCAGAATGTTTCTGACCTCTCACCATCAAGATGGTGTCAGAAACTAGACATCCCCAAATTTTCTTTTTAGGAAAAGTCTTCTAGAAGAAAAGGATTTTCTTTCTTTTTCTTTCTCAGGATGGGGGGGAATTTTTAGGTGGGAAGGGCAGCTGCTAGACAGGATTTCATCCTAAAATGACCACTAGAGGGCCTCAGAGACCCAGGAAAACTTTTCCAGTTTCCAAGGAGAGGCCCTGAGGCCCTGAGAGGGAGCTGGTAGGTCTGGTTTGGGTGGGGTGCGGGAGGATTGAACACTAGGGGTGATTTCTGAGAAGCTTCTCAGCAGATGCTCATGTTCCCATGAGAAAGAAGTAGCCAACCTGTTAGTTAAGTTAGGTAATTAATTGATCAATTTATCCACTGATAAAAGATGTCTGCATGCAGGCAAGACCCTGTTCTGTCCTTGGAGTGAAAGTAGAGATGAAAGTACAGGACTTTTATAAGTGAGCCGCTAGCTCAAAAGAAACCTAGTTTTAGTACTGGTATCAAGGACAGGATTGGAAGGTATGGATTTAGTATCCCATTACTTTCATGTGCTTCCCCAATAAATAAGATTAAAATCAAAACAGCATTTTGCTATGCAAATATAGCCTCAAGTGAAGTCCCATTGGGCCATACATTGGCCCCTCCTATATAGAAATTCTAGCACTGTCCTCATTGGCACTTTGCAATGTACGTTGAAGCAGAGATGAAGCTGTCTTCTCTATTACTGCTCAAACACCCTTAAAGTGTACAGAAAGGACACCAAAGAAACTAATTTAGAAACTCATTTTTCCTGAAGAGATCTAGAAAATAAGACAGCTATCTAAGTAGGAGGCATGCTAGAAGATGACCTACCAATGTGTGTTCCAACCAGAGAACTGCTGGTCCTGGGAGCCAGGAGGACAGAGCATAGGGCAGAGTCTGCTGGGGGAAGAGATTCCTCTCCCTTAGCCTCATGGCTGGCTCTACAGCCCTCCCAGAGGGCATTTTGGCTAAGGAAGCCTTTTACCAACATGACCTAAACCTGCCACCCTCACTTCCACTCCACCACAGCGGCAGCAAATTTATTGAGTAGGAAAGAAGGTTCCTGAAAGTTGGAGAAGGGTTGGGTCTCCCAGTCCATGGGTTTGCTCTGGGAGAGCTGAGTCCTAGATGACTTGCAAATACGGTCTCCTCTGTGCAGAGCGCTTCTGGAAAATGAAAGAAAGTGGTTGGGTTTCAGTATATTTCCTTGGTTATAGGAGACAGATGGATAAAACAGATGAGATGAATCAGATTATATTAAGCAATATAATTATGTTTCCCTTTTAATAGAAATTTCCTTTTCAGAGGCTAAAAACCCAATGAACCTCTTGTATGCCAGTTTCCCATGGATGAAAGGAAGGACGTTTTCCCTGTGAGACTCTCTACTGCTGTCTGGATCCCTATGTCCAGCCCCTGTTGCTATTCTCTCCAGATGACATAGTCGGCTACATCAGTCCTGTAGATCCTGCCTCGATCTCATTGTTCTTAGCTCCTTAGTTCCCACCACATTAAGTTAAGCATCCTTTTTTTTTTTAAATTTTTATTTTTTTTATTTATGATAGTCACAGAGAGAGAGAGAGAGGCAGAGACACAGGCAGAGGGAGAAGCAGGCTCTATGCACCAGGAGCCCGACGTGGGATTCGATCCTGGGTCTCCAGGATCGCGCCCTGGGCCAAAGGCAGGCGCCAAACCGCTGCGCCACCCAGGGATCCCATAAGTTAAGCATCCTTACGTGGCTACCAAGGACAGGCCATCCTTTTCACATTATACCCATCCTTTACTCTCATCCTACTGGTCATCTCACTGTCCAATAAAGGATCCTTGACATTGACCCCTCTGAGTGTTTACCCATGCTGTTCCCCTTGTTTGGATACCCTTTCTTCTTTCTGGCATAGAAACTGAACCCAAGCTACATTTTCCTCAGTCTTTCTTGACTACTTAATCTTATTGACTTTGAACTCACTTTTGAGTTTCTTTTCCTCTTTGTTATCTTATTTCAGGAAACTTGATTGTGATCTGACAATTAGATGGCTAGGTTTTTGAGGGCAGAGGTTTGAATGTAGCATATCAAGACCCCAGAATGGTGACCCCATGCACACATGAGAAACACAATTAGCATTTGCCTGGTTAACTCCTATGCATCCTTGGATCCTAGGTTGAAGTGCACTTGCTAAAGGCAGCTTCTCCCAATAGATCCACATCTCCTACTATAGCTCCCCAGGGAACCATGTATCTCTTCTGCATAGCGTTCTTCAAAGATAGGAATTTTTATTTATTTGCTTTATTTCATTACTCTGTTCCCTCCATGAAGGCTCTATCTGGTACAGAGTGAGTACCCTGTAAATATTTATCTAAATGAATTAATAAATGTTGGTTGGATGGCTGACGCGGACTTCTTGGGGAACGAGGAGAACAGACTTAAGTATATTACTGGTATCCTTGAGCACAGTCCTAAAAAGAATCTAACAGCAGAGGCTCAGATGGACCAAATCAGCAAAATCATTTTAGGGTCATTATTGGAAATGACTAACATAATATTTTCTCAAGAACTTTATGATCAAGTTATAAAAGTAATACATGTTTATTGTGGAAAATATGTAAAGTTCAAAAAATTGTAAGGAAGCAGAGGAAAATAACTGTAAATCTACTCCTCAAAGACTTTTTAAAAATAATATTTTCTTCCAACACTGAATAAGCACTTTTTTTTATACACACTGGAAACCCTACTGAATATACAATGTTGGATCTTGCTTTCTTTTTAATTACTTAACATTAAATGATAAGTGTTTTTTCTTTGTTATTGAAAGCTCTTTGGGTTGGATTTTAATAGGTCGTAGAGTTTCGATTTTAAATAGCTCCAGAATATTCTACTGTATGAATGTACTCTGTCATTCCCCACTATAGGACATAAGGGTTAATAAATGTGAGTTTTGACCCTTACGATTTTGAATACATTCTAAAGATAAATGGGAGATGTGTGGCAGACTTCCCCAGGTGTTTCAATGCAATACCTACCTTTATTACTGGCATATCATCCTGGCTATCCAGATCTCAGCCCCAAGTGAGTGCTCCTCATTCCTGGGGTCTTCATCCCCAGTCCCTATTCCTCCATCTTCTACTTCTTTCTTTGTAGCAGACACCATTGGTGCCCTGCCCATATACTGTCAAGATTCAGCATTTCTGTACATGACAGTGGCTTCTTACTGCAAGCACCCCAGATTCTCTGCTTAAGGATTTTCTTGGCTGCAGGAGCACGCTCAGTCATGAGTGAGGCAGGCTGGGAGTGCCAAAGTATTAATGCCCCCAAATAGCCCTTAACCAATAATAAATGGGAATTAGTGGGTAATATCCCAGCTCCTCCTTACCCGTGAGGAACAAGTTGGAGGTGTGTTCTACACAGACCTCCCCACCAGAGCTGAGCTGCAGTTGCCCATGGGCATAATTCATTCATCAACACACCTGTATTAGCTTCTTTTCCTTCATTGCCTCATTTCCATATTCTTCCAATTGTGTTTCCTAGAATCACCTCACAAACCATTTGGATTCAAATCTTTGTTTCAAGGTCCACTTCTGGGGGACCCAGTCTAAGACACCCCACTTCTTAATAATGAGTTCTAGCACTTTCCAGCTTAGAGAGTGCCTCTTCTTTTCAACTAAAGTGGAAGCTAAAAGTCTAAATGATCTAACACATATTTTAAGGAACAGGGTAAAAATGCAGAACCATGCCAGATGGCTGACTCTTTATCATCAGAACGTCTGATAGGAAAGCTCCCAAGAGGGAATAAATTATACAGAGGTTCTGGTCTCTTTGGAGGTGACTTTGGATTGTTCTTTCTTTCTCATTTCTCTCTTCATCTGCTTCCTCTGCAGAAGTCGTCATCCTAAGATGAACTATTTTTGCTGCCAATCCCTAATTAGGTTTCCAGATGCAGCCATAAACCTGGATGTGATGCTCTAGGTATGCTATACAGCAAAGTTTATATTTATTTTACTTAATTCATGGTTACTACTAGTTACTAAAGGTCTAATATGTGCTGAGCAACTCTACTAGGTTCTGTAAGAGATTCTGGAGGGACCATTAAGACACTATCCCTGTAAAGATAGGACATAAACACTGTACTCCTGCAGGGTTGAGTGTGATGTGTCAATTGAGGGGCAATACATAGACCAAAACAACTCTAGGGATTCAGAGAAAGTAGTGCTTTATTCTGGCTGGATTTTGAGAAAGCTTCTTGGATCAGGCTAAGAATGGTGGGTGGGTTGGATTTTATTAAGCCAAATAGATCAAGACAGAGATAGAACTGATCCAAACTTCTCCCATCTCGAGTTCCTAAGGGAATTCTATTTGATGTCTGAAGGTAAAATAACTGCTTCCCTCCACCTCCCCACCTTGTTTTCTTCTATCTCAGCTCCTCCAGTACACGCTGAGGAACCTATAGCACCTTTCTGATATAAAGACTGAGCCAGAGCCTAGTCAAACTGTCATGTAGTCATAGGCATATCCATTAGGAATGCATTTCATTTGAGATATGAGCATGTCATCTCACAGGGGTTTATTTTTTTTTAAAGGTTTTATTTATTTATTTATTTATTTATTTATTTATTTATTTATTTATTTATTTATTTAAAGGTTTTATTAGAGGCAGAGAGACATGCAGAGGGAGAAGAAGCAGGCTCCATGCAGGGAGCCCGACGTGGGACTCGATCTCGGGTCTCCAGGATCAGGCCCTGGGCTGAAGGCAGGCGCCAAACCACTGAGCCACCCAGGGATCCCCTCACAGGGATTTAAACAAAATAGACAGCTGATTGCATCTTATGTTAAGAGAAGACTGGAGGTAGGCATTTGCTGGTGCTGGTTTAGCTACTCAGCAACATCAAGGATCCAGGTTTTCTCCATCTTCCTACTCAGCCTTCGTAAAGCCAGTGGCTTTTCAACTCATGCTACTCACCTCCTGGTTGCAGGTTGGCTGCTTTGGACTCAGGCGTCACCAATGCCTTCCAGGCAGGCAGAAGGGAGAAGGGTAGTAACAGGTGTTCCTCTTCTTCTTAGCAAGGCAGCAAGTTTTCTTAGGAGTCCCTCGCAAACTGTACCTATGTACCATTGGCTAGGACTGGATCATATGGCCACCCCTGGCTGTAAAAAAAAAAAATTCTGAGAATGTAGGGATTCCAATTTTAGAGACTTTCCTTGTAGAAAGTAAGGAAAAAGGGGATAGGGAATGGCTGCAATGAAGTTCCTACAAATTCTGTCTTCTCTTACAGGAACCTTCATCTGCTGTGGCCAAGACTCAGTGTCTTGCTCCCCGATAGCTGGTGTATTAGTCAACTATTCCCCCAGCCATACTGGACGAACCACCCCAGATCTCAGTGGCAGGTAACAAGCATGTGTTATCAGGCTCACAAATTTGCTTACTTGCCAGAGTAAATGTTCTGCTGTGCTCCACGTCTTTCACTCTTCTGGAAGCAGAGAAATGGTGCGGCAGAAACACTAGGGTAGCACGCATTAGGAGGAGGCAGGGGCCACGGGAACGATCCCCACTGAACGCGCCTACCGCACCTGCCACCGCGGTTACCCTGGGGCCCGCCTCTCACCAGGAGAGCAAGGACGCGGGCACCAATGAGCTGCCTGGGTTGCCTACCAATATCGACCAATCAGGATGTAGCCTTTCCAACCAATCAGGCGCTTTTTTCTTTCCCTCATTAGCATATTGCACCAAAGTGGAAACCGGACAAGGAACTTTGTGTATGTAAGCGGGGCCTTCCGTGTGTTTGGGGAGGTTGGTGGTACGGTTTTCCGTTGGGTGTGTATCCTTGCAATTTTAGCTTTACTGAAACACAACATTTCCTGTGCTTTTTTTTTTTTTAAATTTTATTTATTTATTTCATCAGAGAGAGAGAGAGGCAGAGACACAGGCGGAGGGAGAAGCAGGCTCCATGCACCAGGAGCCCGACGTGGGACTCGATCCCGGGTCTCCAGGATCACGCCCTGGGCTGAAGGCGGCGCTGAGCCACCGGGGCTGTCCTGCTTTTGGTTTTTTGGGTCCAGCCTCATTTTTATTGTTGTTTGGCCAAGGAATGCAAGATTAGTAATAAAGATGTGCTGCCACATCAGGTGCAGGCTTGCAACTCTGGCACACTACCACTTTGTCTGTATTCCAATGGCCAAAGAAGCCTCATGGGGCTAAAGCAAGACTTTTTGTGAAGAAACTGTAGAGTACTTGGGCAAGGACATGGGGGTGGGTAGGGATAAGGATGGGGACGGTTCTCGTACCCCCGCTGGGTAACCTGTGTTTTTTGTGTGCGGCAAGTGGTGGTGGAGTTAGGGTGTGAATGTGTGTCCTTGCTGGTAGCAAACGTGCCTGTGATGGGCAAGGACCTACTGAAGGTAAATCCAATTGGTAAAGTGACCCTAGGTGTATAAATTTAGATCAGGTGTGAGGAGGAATGATCCAGCACTTGTCATCTGTGAGACTCTATTGGTAGCACTTCGCTTACATTAACTTCTTTAATCTGTATTATAAATGTATGAGGTAAGTCCTATTCTTTTTTTATTTTTTATTTTTTATAATAAATTTATTTTTTATTGGTGTTCAATTTGCCAACATACAGAATAACACCCAGTGCTCATCCCGTCAAGTGCCCCCCTCAGTGCCCATCACCCATTCACCCTCACCTCCCGCCCTCCTCCCCTTCCACCACCCCTAGTTCGTTTCCCAGAGTTAGGAGTCTTTATGTTCTATTCCCCTTTCTGATATTTCCTACCCATTTCTTCTCCCTTCCCCTCTATTCCCTTTCACTATTATTTATATTCCCCAAATGAATGAGAACATATAATGTTTGTCCTTCTCCGACTGACTTATTTCACTCAGCATAATACCCTCCAGTTCCATCCACGTTGAAGCAAATGGTGGGTATTTGTCGTTTCTAATGGCTGAGGAATATTCCATTGTATACATAGACCACAGCTTCTTTATCCATCATCTTTCGATGGACACCGAGGCTCCTTCCACAGTTTGGCTATTGTGGACATTGCTGCTAGAAACATTGGGGTGCAGGTGTCCCGCGTTTCACTGCATCTGTATCTTTGGGGTAAATCCCCAACAGTGCAATTGCTGGGTCATAGGGCAGGTCTATTTTTAACTCTTTGAGGAACCTCCACACAGTTTTCCAGAGTGGCTGCACCAGTTCACATTCCCACCAACAGTGTAAGAGGGTTCCCTTTTCTCCACATCCTCTCCAACATTTGTGGTTTCCTGCCTTGTTAATTTTCCCCATTCTCACTGGTGTGAGGTGGTATCTCATTGTGGTTTTGATTTGTATTTCCCTGATGGCAAGTGATGCAGAGCATTTTCTCATGTGCTTGTTGGCCATGTCTATGTCTTCCTCTGTGAGATTTCTCTTCATGTCTTTTGCCCATTTCATGATTGGATTGTTTCCTTGGTGTTGAGTTTAATAAGTTCTTTATAGATCTTGGAAACTAGCCCTTTATCTGATACGTCATTTGCAAATATCTTCTCCCATTCTGTAGGTTGTCTTTGAGTTTTGTTGACTGTATCCTTTGCTGTGCAAAAGCTTCTTATCTTGATGAAGTCCCAATAGTTCATTTTTGCTTTTGTTTCTTTTGCCTTCATGGATGTATCTTGCAAGAAGTTACTGTGGCCGAGTTCAAAAAGGGTGTTGCCTGTGTTCTCTTCTAGGATTTGATGGAATCTTGTCTCACATTTTATTATTTTTTTTAATTTTATAAATTAATTTTTATTGGTGTTCAATTTACCAACATACAGAATAACACCCAGTGCTCATCCCGTCAAGTGTACCCCTCAGTGCCCGTCACCCATTCACCCCCACCCCCCGCCCTCCTCCCCCTCCACCACCCCTAGTTCATTTCCCAGAGTTAGAAATCTTTATGTTCTGTCTCCCTTTCTGATATTTCTCACGCATTTCTTCTCCCTTCCCTTATATTCCCTTTCACTATTATTCATATTCCCCAAATGAATGATAACATACACTGTTTGTCCTTCTCCGGTTACTGTGGCCAAGTTCAAAAAGGGTGTTGCCTGAGTTCTCCTCTGGGATTTTGATGGAATCTTGTCTCACATTTTAGATCTTTCATCCATTTTGAGTTTATCTTTGTGTATGGTGAGAGTGGTCTAGTTTCATTCTTCTGCATGTGGATGTCCAATTTTCCCAGCACCATTTATTGAAGAGACTGTCTTTCTTGCAGTGGATAGTCTTTCCTCCTTTATCGAATATTAGTTGACCATAAAGTTCAGGGTCCACTTCTGGGTTCTCTATTCTGTTCCATTGATCTATGTGTCTGTTTTTGTGCCAGTACCACACTGTCTTGATGACCACAGCTTTGTAGTACAACATGAAATCTGGCATTGTGATGCCCCCAGCTATGGTTTTCTTTTTTAAAATTCCCCTGGCTATTCAGGGTCTTTTCTGATTCCATACAAATCTTAAAATAATTTGTTCTAACTCTCTGAAGAAAGTCCATGGTATTTTGATAGGGATTGCATTGAACGTGTAAATTGCCCTGGGTAACATTGACATTTTCACAATATTAATTCTGCCAATCCATGAGCATGGAATATTTTTCCATCTCTTTGTGTCTTCCTCAATTTCTTTCAGAAGTGTTCTGTAGTTTTTAGGGTATAGATCCTTTACCTCTTTGGTTAGGTTTATTCCTAGGTATCTTATGCTTTTGGGTGCAATTGTAAATGGGATTGACTCCTTAATTTCTCTTTCTTCAGTCTCATTGTCAGTGTATAGAAATGCCACTGATTTCTGGGCATTGATTTTGTATCCTGCCATGCCACCAAATTGCTGTATGAGTTCTAGCAATCTTGGGGTGGAGGCTTTTGGGTTTTCTATGTAGAGTATCATGTCATCGGCGAAGAGGGAGAGTTTGACTTCTTCTTTGCCAATTTGAATGCCTTTAATGTCTTTTTGTTGTCTGATTGCTGAGGCTAGGACTTCCAGTACTATGTTGAATAGCAGTGGTGAGAGTGGACATCCCTGTCTTGTTCCTGATCTTAGGGGAAAGGCTCCCAGTGCTTCCCCATTGAGAATGATATTTGCTGTGGGTTTTTCATAGATGGCCTCTAAGATGTTGAGGAATGTTCCCTCTATCCCTACACTCTGAAGAGTTTTGATCAGGAATGGATGCTGTATTTTGTCAAATGCTTTCTCTGCATCTAATGAGAGGATCATATGGTTCTTGGTTTTTCTCTTGCTGATATGATGAATCACATTGATTATTTTATGAGTTGAACCAGCCTTGTGTCCCGGGGATAAATCCTACTTGGCCATGGTGAATAATTTTCTTAATGTATTGTTGGATCCTATTGGCTAGTATCATGTTGAGAATTTTTGCATCCATGTTCATCAGGGATATTGGTCTGTAATTCTCCTTTTTGGTGGGGTCTTTGGTTTTGGAATTAAGGTGATGCTGGCCTCATAAAACGAATTTGGAAGTACTCCATCTCTTTCTATCTTTCCAAACAGCTTTAGTAGAATAGGTATGGTTTCTTCTTTAAACGTTTGATAGAATTCCCCTGGGAAGCCATCTGGCCCTGGACTTTTGTGTCTTGGGAGGTTTTTGATGACTTCTTCAATTTCCTCCCTGGTTATTGGCCTGTTCAGGTTTTCTATTTCTTCCTGTTCCAGTTTTGGTAGTTTGTGGCTTTCCAGAAATGCGTCCATTTCTTCTAGATTGCCTAATTTATTGGTGTAGAGCTGTTCATAATATGTTTTTTTTATTTTTTATTTTATTTTTATTTATGATGGGCACACAGTGGGAGAGAGAGAGAGAGGCAGAGACATAGGCAGAGGGAGAAGCAAGCTCCCAGCAAGGGAGCCTGATGTGGGATTCGATCCCGGGTCTCCAGGATTGTGCCCTGGGCCAAAGGCAGGCGCTAAACCGCTGCGCCACCCAGGGATCCCCATAATATGTTTTTAAAATCGTTTGTATTTCCTTGGTGTTGGTAGTGATCTCTCCTTTCTCATTCATGATTTTATTAATTTGAGTCTTCTCTCTCTTCTTTTTAATAAGGCTGGCTAATGGTTTATCTATCTTATTAATTCTTTCAAGAACCAACTCCTGGTTCTGTTGATCTGTTCCACAGTTCT